ATGTCACTCTTCCCTCTTTTCAATTCTGTTGACGACTTTATTAGTTTAAATACTTTCCTGTTTTGGGAGTTCGTTTAGCAGAATTTCGGCTTAGCTAAAAATAACTTTTAAAGAAAGCGGACATCACGTTTTAGCTCAGTTTGGTTAATTTTTACCAAAATTGCGTGTTATCATTCTTTTTTGTTTCCATTTGAAATCAGGTACTCATCCAATTTTATCGAATGTTATCATTTGTGTAACGTTAGCTATTTAATTCCTGCCTATTTACAGTTTGCTGCCGCTAATCATAGCTTAGCATAGTAAATTACTTGCCTAGTGGCTTGCAACGCTTCTCACTAAAAAAATTCAAAACAAGAAAGTTGCTTTGAGTCCATAGTTAATCTTCAATTGGGTACTGTTTTTTCATACAATTAGTGAAAAGTTTTTCGTTGTTGTCTATCGCCTTTCAAATTACTCTTCGCCACATTCTTCTATCAAGACGTAAACATGAATTTATTGCAAAGTTCATCAACATCCCATACATATTAAGAGAATTTATACCCCACTCTAAGCATGCTTGCCTGTTTTACTACACTGTTGCGAGGATTTAGTTTTTACTTTCAGTAATTGTATATTTCGCCATGTATAGCTATCACCTTTTTTGACATTAAGGATAGATAGAGTGAAGTAAATTTTGTGATACTTTTAAGATGTTTTCTCCAGATAAGTCAGAAACGTTTTCCACATTCACATTACCTCTTGTTAGGCTGCTTTTAAGGTAAGAACGGAAGCAACCATGACTCATGATTACATGTATAATAATTCCTACGAAGATAGGGCATTCCGTTATATAATCTTGGTCTTTTTTTTAAATTATCATTTGATAATTCAACAAATACCTGTTTTAACTATGAGCCTCGTTTACATTCTTTTCGTACTACTACTTGCCAGAATAACCTTCTCCTTTCAAATTCTAGGTGAGCATGCAATGTTTGCTACTCTTAGTACTGTCATTTCACCACTGTTTTGTCTTCTCGCATGATCTTTTGTTCCCAGATGTTCTCATTCAAAGACCTCCCTCTCTTGAAAGTGCGTTAATTTATTTATGTCAATGCACCGATTAAATAGTCCTGTATGCAAATTTATAAATGTGTAGTAATTTGTACCCTTTTGAAGCTTTCACGTGAAAGAATAGAAAAAGTACTCTGTTTCTAGACTTTGAATGTTGGCTTCATTTTTTTCTAGTGCTTTTTTTGTTGTTTTTTCTTAAATTTAATTCATCTTGCTCTCCCTGTTCCATTGAGTATTCCGTACTATTTTTCGGATGCTTGAGTATTTTTCTGGTAACTAGCAGAATACTTTTCTCTGCTTCTACTTAGTACAAAGCTTAGCTGTTTTTATCGCCTCTTATTCTTTTTTTTCGTTCCAGGTGTGAATCATAAATTCATGTGCCAATAAAATATCATTTTTTTGCAGCCGTGTATGGGGCGAGAGCGCAACCGGACGTTGCGCTGGCTGATCCTATGGGGGCTTTTTGCTAAATCTTTACAACAAGTCCAGCAGGGGCAGTCTGGTAACATCAATCAGAATATTGGCAACCCAGATGCGGGGACGCTATTTACAGGCACAGGAAGCAATGTTTATTATGGAGGTCAGTTTTCTATTTAGGCAAAACCATGCCAGTATTTGGCATAGGGTGAACCCGAACATTTCAGTAAATTTGGTCCCATTTGGGCCTGAAGTCGGCGATCAAGAAGTTATACCTGGTATGCTTACCTCTGGGCAGACCATTGATCTCCACATGTTCTTCCCTTTCTATGGAGGCTTGTACAATTACACTACGGTGAGATTAATTAATTGGAGTTAGATTTAGATATTAATTCAAATTCACGCTTTCCCTCGAATCTCTAATTTTTGTAGATTTCTGTAAATGGTTATATTGGGTTTGCTGTTGTGCTTGACCAAGGTCCAACAATCAACATTGGTCCGGATGCAACCGACTGGCCAAAGC